AGACAGACACTCCATGCAGATGGTGGCCAAAAATTATATAAGTAGGACATTATTTTCTACCTTAAAAATGTATTTCAAATAACGTCCGCACGCGCGGACTGTGCGACCAGGGGTCGAACCCCTGCCCTTTTATCGGAGATATCTCGATTATAGAAGGCCAAACCACATCACTGGCCGACTTCCTCTACTTCGCAATTGAGGTGTCGTGTGTGCTTTTCGCTTGGGAAACGAAAGACCGTCAGGACCAAGTACGTGAAGTGCGAAATCGGACTCTGCATTTCCGGATTTTTTTCAGAATTCCACACGAAGGCAACATTCCGGCAGATGACGCAGGTGGGAAGACAGACACTCCATGCAGATGGTGGCCAAAAATTATATAAGTAGGACATTATTTTCTACCTTAAAAATGTATTTCAAATAACGTCCGCACGCGCGGACTTTGCGACACCACATGGCGTCATTCGTACCGCTGCCTTTACTATCTGCGACGACATACGTTGTCTTTAGTCGTTTAAAGGTTAAATAGAGGAATATTAGATGGTATGGTTTCAGAGAGAAAGAGATCAAGAAAGAAATGCTGACTTAACTTAATTTTGGCTGCCATCCCCTTCAAAATAGTCTCCTTGGGAACGTATACAGCAATCCCATCATTTTTCCACGCTTTAGAAGCACTATGGAAGTAATTTTCCTTAATGCTGTTGAGTATTGCAATTCCCTTTGGATGTTGGACATGCTGTTTCAAAACATCGTCCCTTCAATTTCAGTTTCAATTTGGGAAACAAAGTGAAATCACAGGGGACTAAGTCCGGTGAGTAGGGAGTATGGGGAATGATAACCATGTTGTTGTTAGTCACAAACTCTGTGGTTTCCAGGGAGATGTGGGCAGGTGCATTGTCATGATCAAAGAGCCGGTTGTCATTGTGCCAAATTTCTGGTTTTTTAAGTTGCACATTTCCTCTCAAGCATCTCAGAATATCTAGCGTTAGAAGGAACAAATTCATGGTGAGCAATCCCCTTCACATCAAAAAAAAAAAAATGAGCATGCTCTTTGTTGAACTTCAGACCTGCCATGCCTTTTTTGCTCTTTGTGATTGTGGGCTCTTCCACTGCAACGATTGTTGCATTTTTCCCTGGATCATAACCATAAATCATTATGATCCTGGAGATAAAAGTTGGGTCCTCATTAGCCTTCTCTCATAGCTGAAGACACGTTTACGTGCCACTGCTTTTAATCATTTGTCAAGAGTCTGGGAACAAACTTTACAACAATTCAGCGCATGTTCAGACTTCCTGTTAAGATCTCCTGGCAATGCCATTTGCATTATTACCCAGAAAACAGCCTGTGGTAACCATTGCATACGAGGTTGGGTGGGCCTCAGATCCAATTTGGACATCCTGGAGAAGAGAAAAATTTCTTGCCCCTACAGAGAATCAGACCCTGGCCATCCAGCCCATAGCTTGTCACTATACTGACTGAGCTAAATCAGATTTTTTTTTCTAAAATAACTATTGACATATGAAATGAATACTTTAAGGACCTACGTTGAAGGTAAAACAACTGTGATGCCACAAGTAATGTTGTTTCAGTTCTTTCTGTGATATTTCATACCAGAATTTATGATTGTGCAGTTTCCTGGCAGAGAGAGAAGATGAATATTCATTAACAGATTGTTTACTAGTTTGAAATTCACTAATTATCAAATATAATGCATAATTTATATTGGACTTTAGCAGGAACCAGAAGAAACATTCACTAAGTATGGGAATTCACAAAATGTGGAATATTAAATGAGGTTTTCATTGTATATTTATTATTTTCCACTGACTGCCTCATGCTGTGATCTGCTTTGTTATGCCACTCTCTCTGGCTATACTTATTATCTGTTTATTGTAGAGGTTCTTTTGAAATATTCTTGACTTTTATAGCTAGTTAGTGTTAAGAACACATATACCAGTAATACTAGAATTGCTACTGTTACTGTATCCGTTTTCAGTCTGAACATAAAGTAAAAAAAAAAAAAAAAAAGTAATGCTATCCCTGTAACAGGCCATGAAGGCCCATAGGGTTGTGAGACATTGAGGGTCTCACATTATCTAGACAGTCGGCTCAAAGATGGCGGTAAGGTTATCAGCCTTATGCGCCGGCCGTGCTTTACTCCCCAGGAAAATTATTTAATTAATTCCTGGTACTCACTTCTGTTAGAGGCTGAGTCGACCCCAGGGCCATAGTGCAGCTGGAAGGATTAGGTCAACTGAAAAAAATCCAATGACCTCCTTGGGACTTGAACCCATGACCTTCTGGCTTGTAGCATAGTGCCCCTTCAGTCTGAACATTCCTATCATTAATTACATTGTTGTTGCTATCAGTGTCATCAGTCTATGTGCTTCCCTCAACAGGATGGTGAAATAAAAGACACTGGCATAAACTGTTCATGAATTAGCTTCTGTTCTCTTAAAGGGAAAATAAACTGTCAGACAAGATCCAGTTACTTAAAGGTCGCATAGAAGACACAGAGCTTCCACAAAAGTGTGTAGATATCATTGTGTCAGAGTGGATGGGCTACTTCCTCCTCTTTGAGGGAATGTTGGACAGTGTTATATATGCACGAGACCATCATTTGACTGAAGGAGGGCTGCTTCTTCCAAACAGATGTTCCATCAGCATGATTGGACTGGCAGACACAGGTATAAATAAGATGCAGTTACCTATATACTGTATTGTGTTTCATCTGTTTCTTAAATAACACAGTAGTTCAGTACATTATGTGCAACATTAAATTTACTCCCATTGACAACAGAATTTATTAGCCTTGAAATGAAATGAACAAAAATTTGAACATGTGTATACCCTAAATTTAATATTACTAGCTTTCTGAACTTTGTCCATCATCCAATATTCTAAACCAGAACCTGATTCACGTGCCAGATAGGCTCGCAACCTGAGGTGGGGGGGGGGGCTAGAAAGGATGTCCAGTGATTGGGACTAGCTGCTCCTAATGGAGCCATCTAAGTAGGTACCCTGCACCTGAGGATGGGAGGAGATCCAGCTTCCAAAACGTTGTGTCCAGGTTTAGAATATTGGATGATGGACAAGCTCAGAAAACTATCACTAATACTAAGTATAATTCACCATCTTAAGAATCCTTAGTGTTCAAGTTATCATCCATTGACGTTATTCACATAATGAGTTCACTTTCTGTAAAGCCTTTTCCATTTTTGGCCTGTGTCCGCTGCTTAACTTCTGTTTTTTGTACAAATTCCATTATTTCATCTCTGAAGTTGATTCTTAATCTCCATAGTGATGACTTCTTTGACATCTTGAAATATTCAATGCTATTTGTCTTCACAGTATTTACAATCTGGGCTGTAAATATGTCAGAATTATAGGATTATATTTTATGTTACAGTTGTAAAATGCAGTTTAGTGAAATCCTCATTTAAATTTTCTTTGGGGAGTGATGGATTTGAACACTAAACTGAAGAAAATCTTAATTTAGGAATATTAAATAGGGGATTCCATTATTCATGGATTCCACAAGTTATATAAGAGATAATAAAGAGTGTAGATTTTTTCAAAGCAGGATAGGTGTGGCATATCAATATCTTACAGGCTGTTCAAACCCAGAATACTGAGGACATAGCAGACAAACAATAAACATATAGTTGAATTTCAAAGATCTCAATACAAAAGATGACACTGGATTACCTTGAAGAAAGCAGTCTTCTGGGATTTGGCACTGTGTATATGTGGTGTTAACCGACGTTTCAGAGGAACCTATCGCCTCCATCTTCAGGGTAGAAGGAAAAATATAAGAAATCCGCAAGCGAAGAGACCGTGAAAACCGGTAAAAGCGGTTCTCACGGTCTCTTCACTTGCAGATTTCTTATATTTTTCCTTCTACCCTGAAGTTGCAGGCGATACGTTCCTCCGAAACGTCGGTTAACACCACATATACACGGTACCAAATCCCAGAAGACTGCTTTCTTCATAGTCACCGCTGTGAAAGCCTGAAATCTTACACTGGATTACCTTTCTTGTAGATCGCCATGCTGAACTGGTTGAATTCTGGACCGATGTTTATGGATATCGTATGACTTGCCTTAAGCATGAAGTGGTTCAAGAAGCAACAATAGAAGTGGTGCCTGCAAACAAAGTTATTACTTCAACCTGTGTATTGACGGAACTGGATCTCAGTACTTGTTCTACAAGTAGCCTTGATTTTTCATCTGAACTGAAACTCGAAGCTATAACAGATGGGTCAATTACAGCATTTGTAGGCTATTTTGATGTGTTTTTTGATCTTCCCCGTCCAGTTTCATTCTCTACAGGTCCACATGCAACACCAACACACTGGAAACAAACTGTGTTTCTCCTAGAGGAGCCCATTATTGTCCAGCAAGGTGAGTTTTAAGAGCATATGGTTGATTGCCAGAGAATGTGAACTATATGGAACATTTAATATAATTAAATATCTCCATGGAATATTCTGAACATTATGTAGTATAGTAATGCACTATACTGTATTTTGTACCGGTTTTCATGTTTGCAGGAGATGTGTTGACTGGTACAGTGACTTGCCAACGTGCTAGGAGAGATGTTCGTGCCCTAAGTGTGACAATCTCAGTTCCTGGAAGGAAACTGAAATTTAATCTCACCTAGTGATGACTGACACTTTCTTGCATACTTATTGCTTTAATACTGAGATCAGTAAATGTTTCAAGTGTTCACAATATTATTGTGCTCTACAGGTAAAGTGTATACATATAATAAACCAGTTGAAAAACTGATAATTTGTGAAATAAAGATTGAATATGCAGTCCTTTGGAATCATTATTAATGCACATAATTTCACGAATAAATACACGTGTAGGTTTTGTTATTAATTTCCATTGATGTGCAGGAAAACATTCATGTATTGAGATGTAAACACTCTAGGTTCAATGTAAGTTTTGAGGTTTTCACGGTGATGACTATGAAGAAAGTCGTCTTCTGGGTTTAGGCGCCATGTATTCTTCGTTTTGGCAGACGTTTCGGAGTAGCTGTAACTACTGCTCTCTGCATTCCAAGCCATTCACCTGCTCTGAAGATGGAGGCGATACGTTCCTCCGAAACATTTGCCAAAACGAAGAATACACGGTGCCTAAACCCAGAAGACGACTTTCTTCACTCTAGGTTCAAGTTTAAACATTTGGTATAGCATTCATCAGCACGTCATAAAGACACTGTAATGGATAAGTAATTCACGATACAGCCAGCCTGATATATGTAGTTGTTACAGGTGTACCCTTTCAGCTGTAGTGAAATCACTTTCTAAGAAATGTCTGCTGCACAAATATTTCTTATGCAGCATTCTAGCAGGATATTCAAACTTTTCCTGTCCATACCACAGGCCTGTAGAAGTAGAATAAATTGTCTCAAAACTTCAAAATAACTCATCAGTAAACATTACAAACATGATATATGTGCTAAATTTGGGGGTTATGTTGAATAAATTGAACGCAGACATCCATTACACCGTGAATTAAAAGATACATACCATGCTGGATCCTTGTGAAACTTAAAAATTTTACTACTTCTTGCCTACTGCATGACAAGCACCCAGCAACACTGCAAGTTTTCATTTTCATGTTTATACCGCAAGAAGCATACAAAAATTATAACACTTTCACGGTACCCTTGGACATTCTACAAACAATCTTCGGGCTAAACCAAAAGTTGCAGAACATGTCATATATCACAAATATTGTTTGGATGAAATTTCATCATAATCTCAAAAATTTTTGGCTTGAAAGAATTCTATATATTTCTAATGTCATTCATTGTCATAAGCGTAACATTGATATACACAAATAATATGTTTAACATGGAGATGTAACTTTGTGCATAAATGTCTACTCCTGTCTCGCAACCACAGCAAATCAAAATTCATACTTACCAATTTGCATATAATCACCCACCAGTACTGCATATATTTGCGGGAATTAAAATTGGTTTGTTAAGGCTCTCTGATTGGTCGATAGCTGTGTACAAGTTCTGACTCTGCATATAGAGGCAATAGTTCTGCATGTTTCCCCTTCTCCTATGCCAGTTTCCAACCCCTGATACGAAATGTGCAAACTACAGTAAATGGATTTCGATTGTGTCCATGATGTTAAATTCATTCTTTCATTTTATTTGGCAATTCATAATTGCTACAATAGTAACACTTGAACAAGTCACATCATTAAATACATCATTCTTGAAACCCTTTTGCCCCAGTGCCTAAGGATTAGAATATGTCAACAATAAATAATCACTCTTGACATCCGTTACCTATAATTAAAATATCAAACCAGATAAATAATCAAATTAAATAAAATATGTAAATAAAAATGCAAGTTAACCTTATAAGTGTATGAAGAAAATTTTAAAAGTATTACAGTAAATCAGGAGTCCTACATACAACCATATCCATCACCGATCTCATTAAGATACTACAAGCAACCATTTGTTATCTATTTCAATTCCTGAATAGAGGCTTTGCTATACTTACGACTGTCCCTCTAAGAGGAACTCATACAATATATAGAATGGATGATCTAGTAAAAATACTTTTAGCCCATGTTTAAGTCTTTACATCCATCTGATTTTCTTAATACGAAAGCTAGTCTATTATACAATTTAATGCCCATATTGATAACCATTACAACGCAACACATAACATTCTTCACCTACGCTGTTTCACAACCGTCTGAATGAATGTAACCAGTCAATTCTTCATCCTTCCATTTAATTCCAATTGTAGCTGATTTTTTCACATTTAAAATATCCTTAATCACATTTACGAAGTTTTTGCACCATAACCTCTTTACTTTTCCCATTTAAATGCAAATTTAGATTTTCCGCTACATCGCGAGTCCCTCCCCACACAATACACACATCTTTTACTTGTAAATGGGCTTACAGTTGAGTTCAACGTATTAGTTATCTCTTTAGTATGTGACCAAGGTTTTACTATGCCTAGAACTTCAAAGTGTTTACCAAGCTTATGTTGCAATTCATATGCCATACCTCTCCCATGGCTATCACCCATGATTATGGCTCTACCACCATTTCTCCTAATATTCTTCTTACCTATTGCCACTTTACCATTATGTTCGTTGATGATCTAGATCAAGAGATACATTTTCATAACCTTCTTGGTTTTTCAATAGTCTATGTCGACCATTGCTGACTGGAATCACGCAATGATCGTACTGTTCCGTGTCTGCTTCAGATCCATTCTTAAATTCCGTCAAGCCCGAATTATCCTCTTCATTTCTCATAGAATCCTCAATAATACTAGTCATTTTTACTAAAATCACANTAAATATCATTCTTAAAGCATTATCTAATTTTTGTAAGAACTGAGAAATATTTTAGATTAAGTAATTCCTTTTTTTTTCCACATTAATCCTTTCGTTATGGTAATATTCACCACAAATTCTTGTGTCTTTTGTAACTTTACAATGTAAGCACTTAACTTTTGCATTCTTGGATACCTCACACTGACCCACACCGGCCATCTTGATATCTTGATCGAGTATACCCATAATACCCACTGTCCCAATATTTCTCATGCGTATAACGAAGTATAATTCCAAACGTTTAAAATATAATGGCTGAACTTAGTAGAAGTAAAAGTGGTGTGCAGCAAAAGATCTACAGAACCGAACTTTGTAAAATCAGGACTGATCAACAGAAAAGAGCGTTCAAGATTATAGTTGTAGGGGATTCAGGTGTAGGAAAAACCTGCCTAACCTACAGATTCTGTGAAGGGAAGTTTCTTGACAAACCTGAAGCAACTATTGGAGTGGATTTTCGAGAAAGGACTGTTAATGTGAGTGGAGAAGATATAAAAGTGAGTAGATAGCAGTGTATAGTTTTTAAATTGCTGAATATGCCATTGGCTCAGTTCCTGAGCTTATACCACACTCTCATCATATAACTTTAAGTAGTCATGACTAATATTCACTGATTCCAACACTGGATGTAAGTTTACAGTTTCTGTGATGGGGATTGGTCAAGAGAGGGTTTGGTAGGGCGTGCATTTCATGGTTAATTGCGACTCGGAGACCAGATTAACATTTAATCAATATAGTTTTGTTTTCATACTCAAGCTTGAGTACGAGTATGAGGGGTAGGCCATAAAACTGACCCTAGCACTGGGATCTTCAATGATCTATTGTGCTTTGTACTTAAGCTTACATGCCAACATCCTTTTCTTTGTTCAGTTGCAGTTTTGGGACACAGCAGGCCAGGAAAGGTTTAGAAAGTCCATGGTTCAGCATTATTATCGAAATGTTCATGCTGTTGTTTTAGTATATGATGTTACTAAAATGTCTTCTTTTCAGGTGAGTATATAATTTTGTAATACACTAGGAGCAATGCTTTGTAATTGGGTAAATTCNGAACACACTGTACTTTCTGAGTCATGCACCCCAGTGTATTCACATGTTTCTTGTTCAATAATGTCAGAACTTCCAGCAGGACAGATATTACTGAATGAGATGTGAGCTAAAGCTTCATATTCACTGAGAAGATATGTAGGGGGTCATCTGACACTATGTAAAACATAAAATAATAATGAATGAATTTGATTAAATCTGTTTTGTAAAATGACAGTTTTTGTTGTATGGCACAATACTGTAAATGCAAAGAAATCATAATACTCATTCACTCACCTAGTGATATTTACACCTCAGTTGAATGCTGTATGAGTTTCATCGCCAGTGTCATATGGCACATTTATATTTTTTTTATGAATGTCACAATTTTTGTGAATAATTAATAACTTCAATTTATTACCTGAACTGTGATTGATATTAACATGCAGCTGGTCTGTAAACATAAACCTCTACTGAGCACTTCACTCTACATGATCTTTCTTGTTCATTGTTCTGAAANGTGGGCAACAGGTAACAGCGAATGGAATATAAGCCGGCTGAGCAGTAAGCCTGAGTTAGTGGTAATGTGGCCATTGCCGAGTTCAGTTCCGAGAGAGTTCTCAAGGCAGCTACCTACGAGTTAGTTCCGAGAGAGTTCCGAGTTAGCCAGCAACCAGTCAGTTGTATTCTGGCATTTGCAGTGTAATATTTGTGATACTGCCGATGGCAGTAATTGTCAGATTGTAATTTGGGTGATTGTAAGTGCGAATGTGAAATAAAATTCGCTATATCAAATACAGCGTGAAGTTATTTGTCGCGTTATACACCCAAAACACGTGACAATTTGGTGTCAGAAGTGGGATACGAACTTACACACGTGACCAACGAGATTCGAACTCAAAACACGTTACACTGGTATCAATTGAAATTGATACCACACCACCACCACCGCCCCCACCCCCAAGTTCCAGAATGTCAGTTATCTGTGATCTAAGACAGTAGGATACATACATACATAGATACATAATTTCACAGATCCATTGTCCGGAAACTGGACCAGATATTGAATTCGTCAGCAAAATGACATTGCAAAATGCAATCTAGTCTCAACAATTAAAATATTAAAGAATTATAAAATGAAAAATACAATAATAAAATAAAAAGCAGTCATATAACAAATCTAGATAATACATAATCTTGGAAAGACAACAATAATGTATTATGCTTGATATGAACAGGGCTAATGCAACAGTACGGGCAAACCAAGTGACTGCCCTCGGAAGTCATATTTTACAAACTTCCCTGCCTCCCTCTTATATGCATTAATGAAAATAATTTCTGCTGTTCATTTGTTTATACCACGAGAACTGATTGGTAATAATCAAATCATGATACGCAGCAACATAATATAAGCATGACTTTCGGCTACAATTATTGTCTAATTGCGTAATGTCAAGGTGGCAACAACAGTATGATTTCTGTGACCAGATGATGCTATATTTTTATTTCTGTTTCTTGATCTCTTGTTTTAAGAATTAGGATGTCAATAGTGGTTTTTGACGCAGTGTCTGAGAATTCTGTGTCATTGATAGTGGCTGAGTTTTGTGAAAGCTAAGCTTTTTCTAATTAGGGAGGGGGGATTTGTTGTCTCCTTGTACAATTATGCTAGCCCTGGATATACTGAACCATTTGAATGCAACACACATGGATGACACCTGTTTGCAGTAAGCATATGAGTACAATGTTATGTTACAGTCGTTACCACAGTGGATTGAAGAATGTAACCATCACAACTTGACAGATGTCCCTCGAATCTTGGTGGGCAATAAATGTGACTGCAAGGAAATGCAAGCTGTAAGAACAAATGCAGCTCAGAGGTTTGCTGACTTCCATAACATGCCCGTGAGTTATTCCTCAGCCCTTGCATGTATTACAGACATTCCCTTTGGGGGGGGGGATTTAGAAGGAATAATGAACTATGATTTTCATGTTGGTTCTTGATATGCAAATGTATGCTTGATAATATTTTGCCACACACAGATGGCACATTGAAATAACCATAAATCTCTGGGACTTAAGTAGCCCCTCTGCTGATTAGTATCATGTATGAGTGCAGGTATTCCCCATTTTACAAACACTTGATGTATAAATTTTTGCTACAGCAAATAATTTATAACGTCAGCAACTCTTATGCATATAGTAATGGAAATTTCATTTTCTGTTTACAAATTTTCATATTATGAACAATTTTCATTGAATGAATTGCCTTCATTATTGAAGGGGTACCTGTGCTTGTGGCACACGGTAGCATGGTTGAGGCACTATGCTACAAGCCAGAAGGTTGCAGGTTCTAATTCTTCTTCAACTGCGAACACTGACTCTCAACTACTAGTTCCATTTAGTCCAATTTGCTCTAATCCTAGAGCAGAAGCCTACTGCCGGCACAATTACTCTGGCATCGGGCCACACTGGGACAGGTAAACACCTTCCCTACTGTTGTCACGTTCTTAAGGAGAAGGTGTTTACCAGTCGTTGCATACAAACAGCACTTCTTCTATTGTTGCCATGAGAACGTTTACTGACATTCCTCTGTTGTTAGAGAAACAGCCCAAATATCACAGTATTGAAGAGCTAACCTCTGTTGTCACTTTCAGTTCATAATTCTGCACTTCAGCTGGAATATACAGAATGCCTACTGTTGTGATATAGGTGTATTATATATTAAGAAATTAGATTTTATATGACTATATTAAGGGTCTTGGTGGTCTCTTGATCATGTATGTAATTTTATATGTTTTTTGATATGTGGAATGTATTGTTGTACAGTAGTCTTGTTGTATTGAGTATATAAAATTTTAACGATGATGACTATCTGATTATGTATGTATATTCATGTGTTATATTGTATTGCTGACTTGTTCTATATCTGAGGCAGATGCCTCCATGGATTTTGTAGAACTGTAAATAAATGAATGAATGAATGAATGAATGCATTTCAAAAACCTGCAAATATAGGTGATTATTTCATGATTTCGCCCAAGTGTTACTTTACAATGAGCTGCATGTATTGATGTATATCAAGTTCATACACCATCATATTCATATCTGTGATATTTTATTATGAATAGAAATTACAGTTAATTAAAATTCTTATTTTCATTCTGGTCCAGCTGTTTGAAACATCAGCACGGGATGAAACAGAATGTGACAATGTAGAAGCCATATTTCTGACATTGGCCCACAAACTTAAGAATCATCGTCCTATGATGCCTCTGCCAGTGTTACAAACTAATGGAAATGGTTCAGATGAAGATCATCACCATCCTAGGATCAGATCTCTTGTAACCAGTGGTGTGGGCACCGTTGTTAATGATTTGGATAGCTGTTGGTGCTGAAGAAATTCTATATGGAAGTGTCCAATTACTGGTAAAATGGGAGGGACTGTAAACATTTTGATGCATTTGAAATGCAGAAGTATTTTATCTACATATTTTTCAGACTGTTGCTGTGAAGTTAGAGATTATAAGAGCTATATAATTGTGCTGATGAACATTTAGAGTGGGCTAAGTTACAACCAGGACACTGATGTGTATCATGCCATTGGGTCCCACATGAAATAATATACCGAAGATTCAATGTTATATTTTAGCGTCCTGTTGCACTGATTTAAATCATGTACTGAAGATTCATTATAAAGGTAAACTGGAGCAGTGTATAGAAAGAATGAAATTATGCATGACGAGTTACTTCACACATATATGGGGCAACTTTTGTACAGTCTGAAATGTATGTGAAGTAGTTTATTCATTTCATTACACTGTTGGTTTGATTCATGTGAAATAAATCACTCTAAGTGAGCCACTTGTTTGAGTAGTTCAGTATTTTCTTATGGTAAAAGACAGTATTCTTTTACCGTGTGTCTTTAGTTGCTTACAATAACAGTACATACAGTTTTCCGCCACCAGTATATGAGTTTGAATCTTGCCAGGTTTTAAAGTACCTAGAAACATCAAACAAATCCAAGGCATGGCACACAGCTAAGATTAGTGATCACTGTGATGGTCAACTTGCAAGCTGGATAGTACAGAACCCATTCTTGATCCCTTCCCACTTTTTCCCTTCCAGTTTTTTTTTTATTTCTAGTGGAGTGGGACTAAGTCCCATGTACTACGGCCACTTCTGGCCTAATGTACCAGCCCCAGATGATAGGTGAGGGTGATTGTGGAGCAATTGGGGCACACAGTAGCCTAGTTGGTTGAGGCACTGTGCTACAAGCCGGAAGGTCGCGGGTTCAAGTCCCAATGAGGTCGTTGGATTTTTTGCAATTCACCTAATCCTTCCAGACGCACTATGGCCCAGGAGTCGACTCAGCCTCTAACAGAAATGAGTACCAGGAACATTCTTGAGGCTAAAGGACGGCCAGCACGTAGGGCTGAGAACCTCAACATCTCACAAATGGCCCTCCACGGCTTGTTACAAGGATACCTTTACTTTTTTTTTTCCTTTTTTACCCCAGGTAAATTTAAAGATGTATGGCTAAAACCAAAAGAGTGTATCCTAAGTGCAGTTAGAAGTTTCCAAGCGAAGCAGAGTGGACAGGAAGCAGAATGTATACTTCCATGGAAGTTTGAGAAACAAATGGCTTTTCTTCGGCCATTCATGGAAAGCAAGCAGTAAGTAACATTACATTTTTTTGTGGTTTGAATTATAGGTGTAGTCTTACTGCCAAAATATTTTGTCACTGATGATTTCAGAAATGTCATTTCACTATGGTCATGTATATAAAGGACTGCCTGCACTGAATCAAAAGAACCAACCAGTGACTACATATTATAATATATAGCATAAAAGTCTTTCTTTTTTCCTAGGATATCGGTTCCTCCCCCTCGGTGTCTCCACCTTATCGTGGTGAGTATCAGCAGCGACTTGAAGCACACAGCAAATGATGCTCGAGATGGGTCAAGTTCATATAGCAACAGGCGTGACCAGAGTGGTTTGAACGGCTGTTGTACTGCGATGTGGAAAGCAAATGGAAAAACTACCACATTATCACTTTTCCTGGATAGTCTCTTTCCAAAAACAGAGATACCATGTATGCGAGATCCAGAAGACGAGGAAGAAGACGTAAGAAGATGCTGGATGACCTTGGGGACAGAAGAGGATATTTTTATTTGAAGGAGAAAGCTTTAGATCGCATTAAGTGGAGGAACTTTTAGAAGAGACTGTGGACCTGTCATTTGACAGATTACTGATGAATGAATTAGTTCCTTTCAGTTTGGCCTATTCTTCACTTTGTTGCAATATACATAAGGTTCAATCACAGTAAAATGAAGTACAACATGATCATATTGTGGCTTTTTAATATTTGTCATTTTGTGTCTGTCACAAAGGAAATTATAAAAATTTGATTTTCTTGCAGGTCCATAAGATATAAATCAAATGAAAGGCATACTAACATCAGGAGAATTGACTGTCACTGGGAATTTTCATCCATGAACAGTGCCAGCATGGTGGTCTTTTGAAATAGGAGCCTCAGTAGTGCTATGTAACTGTTTGCTGTTGGATATTTCAGTTTGAATAATGTAATTTTTGTGTAAAATGTAAAATAACAACATTCTGGATACACAATACCTGTAGTTGCTTTTCTGCCTGATGTGAAACTTGATTCATGGGCTTAACATACACATAACTGCTAGACTAATCTCGAACTGATGAAGCAAGTTGCTTCAAGCAGAAGAGCTTTTTACATGTATTTAGGTGATACTGGTTCAAATCTGGACTTGACGCTGACTATTCTAACTGGGATATTTCATGGTTCTCCTCAGACCTTCTAGGTAATTGCCATGGTAGTGCCATAAAAAGGTCCTGACCGCTTCAACCACATAGTTTCCAATTCATTACCCACTTTCATACCATGGTTCTGATCTACTGGCAGTGTCATTTAGTAAACCATAAATAAACAAAATCGCCTACTTTTCTGTCACTAAAAACTGAGGACTGGCCTTGGCATGGACCACATAGAAAACACCATGTCCAACAGTTCTTCCAGTGTTGTGTGTGTGTGTACTTGTTGCTGCAGGAACATGTTTACTAAGCCTTTGCATAGCAATGGACATCTTTCTGGCTCCATTATTCCAGCTTTCAGGCATCACATCACATTGCTCCCTCTGTAAGGCACCTCAGCAATTTGAGAGGCTGTAATGTTGGTATTGAGAGATAAAGTGACAGGAGGCTGGAGGAAACTGCATAATGAGGAGCTTCATAACTTGTACTCTTCTCCAAGTGTAATTAGAATGATCAAGTGAAGGAGGATGAGGTGGGCAGGGCATGTAGCACAAATGGGGGAGACGACTGTGTATAGGATATTTGTGGGAAAACCAGAAGGAAAGACACCACTGGGAAGAGCAAGGCGTAGGTAGGTGGATAATATTAAAATGGATCTTAGGGAGATAGGATGGTATGGATTGGATTGATCTGTCTCAGGATAGGGACCAGTGGAGGGCTCTTGTGAACATGGTAATGAACCTTCAGGTTCCATGAAATGCTGGGAAATTCTTGAGTAGCTGCAGAATTGGCGACTCGTCAAGAAGGGCTCAGCTCCATGAGTAAGTAACTAAGTAAGTAATGTTAGTATTACTGATGTGAGGGTTTTTTACAGTGGGCTGAGGTGCCATGATATACACACAGAGACAGCAAGGTGATGTTATGAGACTATTTCTATTTTTTGAAAATAAGGAAAGTAGGCTAAGAGTAGAAAATAAATAGGACTGCTACCACAGAAACTGAAATTAAATATAAACCCCTAATCTACATGCACAAAACACTAGCCTAACCCAAATGTTGGTTGTCCAAATCAGACATAATGGCCCACTGTAATTTTGTATGCGAGGAACACCCTTACAAATGGATGAATGTAATAAGGTGAACAGCTGCATTAGGTAAGATTGAATGGTCTGTGTCCAGATTAGAACTTGTAAGGCTAACCTATATTCAAGGGATAGACAGATTTGATCATTTAGCTTGGTGTTTGTATGGTGTGGGTGCATAAATAAAATATTCTAGAGCTGTTCCCGTGAACTTCTTATGAAACTCTTATATTGTATTCAAAATTAAATGTGCTAATGGCAATGACACATGTTTTTAATGAATGGCAAATTTCAGGTACATTTTGAAGTTCATACTGGTTTCCCTTTCTTTCTGCTGCTTCTAGTTACATCATTTCTTGGAGCGTCCTCCATAGTCTAGAGGTAACGTTCCCACCTCATGACTCCTAGTGCGCTGGTTCAAATACCCGGCGGAGGTCGTCGAATTTTTAAGGGTGGAAAAATTGAGGGAACAAGTCCTCTGGGAGGGACTTGTAAGCCGTGGGTCCCGTGTCGTAGCTTTACGGCACGTAAAAGAACCTCATATCTCCAAAGGAGGTCACTGAGCCAAATTAACGGACGTTTCCCACCTCTGGTAGATGGGGAAAGCATTATAGATACCTCTCAGCTAGTAGAGCCGGTCTCGCTGGCTGGGCGGGACTGATGGTAAGCACCAGTACCGGTAGGATATAGAGACTGGTAGAAATCATAGAGGGAAGCACAATGGACCAATACAGGTCTCAGTGCATGAGGAAACCGACCCTCTCCAATAACTAACTAACTACATCATTTCTGCCTCAGGACTGTATATTGTGTTAAGATCACCTTCTGAAATATGTTTCCTAACCATTACTCTGGCTACGTTTAAGGTGTCATTAATTGAGTATTGTTTTGCATTCACATCTGTAACATAATAGAAATAACTGTGTAAGGGAATCAAGAATACAAAAGTTTTGTTAATTTAAAGTAAAAATTTTCATAAAAAAATCTGGTTTCCAGAAAACATAAAATTTTAGTTGAATTTCCTAAAAAAAATAGTCACTTCTGTGATTAACTACATGCAACAAAGTCCATAATGGAAAAGATATTAGTCACTCAGCTAATCAACATATTACCGTCATTTTATGGAAACGGAATGTTCATTATCTTGTAAGCAAGAACAAGTAAATGCGTCTACTGGAGGATTGTCTGAAAGCTTCCCGAAAATCATTCGGCCGGTCAGGAGAGAGGAATACAGGTTACTCTTGTCATCTCGCACTGCGCATATTCGGATTTGCGGTGTGGTCGAAACCCCCAATAATTTATACACGTAATTTCAGGATCACCCCAGTAAATCGTTGAACAGTTGCGGTGAAGCGAGTTTATGTATAATGTAATGACCAACTCAAATCTGGGGACTCATATTTTTAATGCTACTGTATTTGAACTGTGCGACAGCAATTCCTGTATAGAAATGTCAGTGTGGGTTACTCATCGAAGCAAAGAATATTCGTTTACGGTATCGATATGAAAAATGGCTGTGTAAGAAAAGCAAGGAGAAGATTCCAGTTTAAATTTCAGGAAGTTACACTCCAAAATGAAATATCTATTCGCTCAATCGTAAATAAATTAAAATAGACAGTGTCGTTATTGGACCAAAAATGCCAGATCAAAACGTCTAGTGCTCACTGAAGAGAAATTGTACGGAATTGGTACTAAATTTGAACATTCCCTTCGAACGCCCTGCGCAGGAGACTGCATTTTCAAAAACGTTAGCATTATCTACCATAAAACTCTTGAAACTGAAATCATAGCACATAAGACAACTAATTTGCTGAGGTTCTAAGGCAATTTGCCTGTCGACTTTACCGCGAGTCCGAACGTACGAGGTAGGAGATGGCGCGAATAGCTTGTGACCCTCTCGACCGGCGAAGGAACCTCTTGGACATCCTCACTGTACGTTTGCCTTCCGCCTGACGGTATCAAGTTCTCTTCGTTCTCTTCCAACAGACATTAATAAGACGTGTTATC